CAATATTTCACTTTCAGATCTGTCACTAGCGTTGCTAAACGATATTAATCTTGTTCAATCGGTAAGACATTTCTTCTCCATTCATAAGCCTCTCGGTGAAATAATACATTTTTGTAGATTGATATCCACGTGCACTTGTCGGTTTCGGTGGTGCCAGTCTTTACACCACCAAATAATTAATGGTATATAAACGGTTATTGACATTCCTGTGATGCTTATTTTTACTACGATTAGGTTTTGTAAATGTGAAAGTTAAATGTATTTTCTTTTATTGTTTTTGCCACTAAAGAAAATTTAGCTAATAAATTGAAACGTCTGGCTTAATATGTTATATTGTTTATTAAGAACTGTAAGCAAATTTAAGAAATTAAATAAAATTAAAAGTTTTTAATTTTATTAGCTTATCGTTAGTCGTATTTAAGTATCCCTAATTAAGAAAAACAGAAAAGTGGCGATTCTGGTTATGTTATGGATATGGAAATGAGTCAAGCTCAATTCGACGCATTAGCCACATTAGATCATGGTTTTTTATCGCATTTTCTAAGATATGCGAGGAAGTAGTCCGCATTGAGAAAAAGCAAAACATGATTGTTTTACTATAATAAGGCAGTTGGGCGTTCCCCGTTTATTTATGACGTTTAGTACTGCTGAAACTAAATAATATCTTTTTACTGCAGATTCTAGGTAAACCGTGATTTATAAATAGAAAACACATATTTCTTACAGCTACATTTTTATGCTTTGTTCTGTTTTATTGAAAATCAATTAGGCTTATTATTATTTTTGCCTTATTATTATTTTTGTTCTTATTATTATTTTTGTCTTATTATTATTTTTGCCTTATTATTATTTTTGTTCTTATTATTATTTTTGTCTTATTATTATTTTTGTCTTATTATTATTTTTGTCTTATTATTATTTTTGTTCTTATTATTATTTTTGTTGTTGTCATTATTACTTTCTCTCTTAAATGTTGTCGCCGTGTATTGTTTCTATACATGTATTCTAGTGCTGTCCTCTGTCCTCAGTCAATTTATGTTAAGATGTAATGGGTTCGCCTCCTTCTTCTCATAATTTCTACTGATTTTTTCAACATTTCTTCTAAATAAATAAAGTTTATATCAATTAGGGATAAAATAGGCTAAGCACTGTACACTCGTCATGTCATGACACTTTTGAAAAAACAATCGAAAACAATAAGCGCAGGAGAACAGAGAGGAACGGCAATAACCGACAATCTTGGTGGTTGCTCGAAAATGATCGTGTTCCTGTCTGTGCTACGTTTGGAAACGAAATTTCTGTATGACCACAAATCGGATAGTTCGAACGATGCTGACCACGTTTTCTAGTGGTACGTACCACTAATGGCCGCAAGTTGCTATGGTATCCTGTTTGACACCCCATGTGCAAAAATCAGCGTGGCCAGCAAGCACGCTGGAAAAATTAACAAATTGTGTTAATCCCATTTTGAGCTGACTTTTTGTCGCATCAAATCTAAGTGTAAACGATTAGGAAGACAGTCGTTCAAGTTTTGGAATTCCTGACAATAAGCAGGTATCAAGAAACCTTGAAATTTCTTCATGTAATTACATAGGGTTTTCTCGCTTGTACCATATATCCAGAAGGGAATCTCCGGGCTGTGTCATTCTTTTCATCAGGTCGCCGAGCCATTGAGTGTTGCTAGTATATCGGAATGTATCGAATTAAATAACGTGCCGGCTGTTTACGGATAGAAAATAGCGTTACTATGTGAACAAACTCAGTATGAGCTGTCAAAAATGCCCACATCCTAGATGCTTAAAGAGATAAACATCTATGCGGTTGTAGTGTAATGGTTGCGTTCACGTAGATATCAGCTTCCATATTTTTATTCGGTCTAACGCGTGGTCCAGATTATATGACGCCCTTTTTGGAAAAAGGAAAAGAGAGAGAGAACGCAAAAAATATAGCCATTATGAATCTGTACCTATAGAAACACGCTCAAATTGTACTAACGTGTCAAAGCACATGTGTTATGCACTAAGCACTTACTACCTGCTTGGTTTCAGGTGAAAGAAGTATTTAAAAAGAATATACATCATTTTCTAAGACAGCCGGTACGTTTTAATCCGTTCACTTTTTTGTATCTCCAGCAATTCCGATGAATTCATTTTCTGAACATACTTTTCATGGTCGGCGACTAGGTGATTTTCGGTTCTAGAAATTATCCTCCTCCTAATGATACTCATCACAGCATGAGGGAACAGAAACCATTCTTTCTGCGAAAATATTCGTTTCTCTGACGAGGGAACCTCCCGAGGCGATAAATTGCTTTTTGATCGACATCTAGTGGGTTATAGGTTATCGACCATGTTGATTCCGAATATGGCCATGGGGCTTCCACATAGCTCTTCGAAGATCCAGTCTTCTGGAAAACCGTTCAAAATTCCAAAAAATAACCCAAGCCTTTCTTAATAATGCAGGATTGTAGCGCGCAAATTTCTGATTAAGATGAAACATCCCCTAGCTCTACACGACCTTTCTTTGCAAAGTTACAGAATTTATAAGAAGAGCCCTAAATTGTTCTTTGTCAGCTCAAAGCTACAGAAATAAGAAGGAAAAAATTAATTTAGGGCTCTTCTTATAAATTCTATAACTATGCAAAGAAAGGTCATGTAGAGCTGGGGGATGTTTCATTTTAATCAGAAATTTGTGTGCTACAATCCTGCATTATTAAGAAAGGCTTAGGTTATTTTTGGGATTCCTGAAAGGCTGGTTTTCCAGAAGACTGGATCTTCGAAGAGCTATGTGGAAGTCCCATGGCCATATTCGGAATCAGCATGGTCGATAACCTATAACCCACTAGATGTCGATCAAAAAGCGATTTATCACCTCGGGAGGTTCCCTTGTGAGACTTGAAATACAATTTCAAATTGTATCTGAGTTGAGAAACGCATTGATAGTGCGTTGAAACGTGCAATTGTGCAAGAGTGCAGTGTACAAAGGTCTATTATTCTATAGTTCTACAAAATTTACAGGAATTACAGTGACTTTACATCATTCTGCATACTTAGACGTTTTCCACAAAACTCGTGATTCAGGCATAAGCACTCATGATGAGGTGGAAAGCAATGAATAAGATCTGATTTTGTTGTGACGTTTTTTGCATACATGCAATTACTTGATAATAATTTAATAACTGGTAGTATTTGAACGTGTAATGAGGGGATAATTCCTTAGATAGTCAGTAGAGATACACCATATACCTAATTTCGTTTCATTCACTATTGAATAATAGACCTTTGTACACTGCACTCTTGCACAATTACACGTTTCAACGCACGTGTCAAAACTGTATGTCAGTTGAGAAACGAATATTTTCGCAGAAATAATGGTTTCTCAACTGAGCTATTTGATTAAAATATGGATTGTATCTCAGTTGAGTCCAAACCAAAAAATTCACAACTCAGTCTAGGAGCATCATTTTGACTTCAAATTGGCATCGAAGACTCTACAATGTCTGTAGATTATCCAGCCAGAGTATAAAGATTAACTATTGTGTCATTCTGGAATTCATTGATTACGAGCACTCACCACTGAAACATACGAAGAAGAGCGAGGGTGAGGAACTAAGGGTCGCTACTATAGAATCTGCATTCAATGTACATTATAATCATGAAAACATAATTATGGAAACCTATGGTTTGGAAAAACGTATGTGAAACTTTTGTCAGAAAGATTACACGCTCACCACTGACCTTTGTCATTCCACTTATTTTGCGCCCTTTTCACGTCCCTTATATTCTCAAGCAGAACTAATAACATATGTGAGATCAACAGACAAAGCTGAGTCTAATTGCATATTTGACATTCGGTTTGCTAAAATTCTGAAACTGTTTTTAGGATTTTCATTTTTAAATTCATTTCTCATACGTACTTTCGAAACCATTAGAAAATGTTATATACAAAAATTGCTGAGTTTTCAAAATTTCAAGTATTTTTGCGTCTTGTTGAAAAACCAGTATTTTACAATTTTTTCGCAAGAAAATGATTTTAAAAATCCTAGATTAAGTTGCTTCTACGTAACTGGATGTGCTCTATCCAATCATAGCAAAAAACAGAAAATAAATTTAGCTTCCTTTTTGCATTATTGAATATGAAATCTTCCCATACTGTGACTCACACAACAGGTCAATACGACTTAGTCTATCTTGTGCAGCTTGAATTTACTTTCGTTTCGTTTTTGAAGTTGCCTTATACATACAAAAGAAGAAGTTGTTGTTTAAGATATCAATAGTAATAGTTTTGACTTTTTTGTTCTATACCGTTATTAAAAGGTCGAATTTTGTTTTTTGTCTTTGAACGTACATAGAGATAATAACCTATCTCACAAATAATTGTCCAAGCAATTAATATACCTGATATCAATGATCTTAAACGACTTTGCCATGGACCATAAAAGGATATAAAATGTGTACCAGATATAAATATGAATAAACATATATACAATATTAAACTAATTGAACCGACGAATAGTAAACATAATCTTTTACAATTATCACTGTCTTTATATGCTTTTTCCAAAGAAAGATAATATTTATCTAAAATAATTGACAAAAATAAAAATTGAAATACAATCGAAAATATTAATAAAAGCATATATAATTGTGAATTTTCTATTATATTTGATTGTTGATATAATTTCATCTCTAAACATGGTGTTTCAAAATTAAATGAAAATAATAAGATACTGGCAAAATGAATTCCACTTTTCCATATATATACTTTCATAATCATAAATAATATATAAAAAAATGTTTTTGAACAACTAAAATCATGCTCATCTTTATGAGACGTCTCGTATTTATAATAAGCTAATGCAACAGTTGAAATCCAATGTAAAACGTTACCAGTAAAAAAAGAAATTTTAAACAGATATGGGTCATCAATTAACCAAGAGATCGTACTTCCACCTGTAACCCAATTAACATTTTTTGAACGTACTTTTAATGAATTATTTGTACAATCTTGTATCGTATGACTTTGTTTAATAACATAGTATAGGGAATCATTTGTTTTATTAACACTAGTACGAACATATACATATGTACCACTCCTATGATAATTATGAAAACCAATCATATCATAAATGAGAAGACCAGTTGCTAATAAAATTATAGTTAATAGAAGAAAAATGAATACTTTCGCTGCCATGAATCTACAAGAAAAAGAACGTAAGTTATACGTATACAATAATACTAACTGCAAATATGACATAGATGAGCTATTTAAGATTAATTTAACTTGAGTTCGACTTGAGAGCTGCGCATGAAAACTATTGAGTTATATATCTCCTTCATAGAATATTGAATGTTAGTGAAATTTTCAGCAATTGTCAGGTTATCAAAAAGTGTTTCTGATAAAAATGTCAACTTTATATCTCGTGTTTTCCGGGAGTTCTTCATAAATAAGTGTTCAAAATACACGTGTCCGTAATTCCACGATATCTTCGCCATTTTTTGTGGTAAAAATATAGGGATAGTTTTCTCTAGAGCGTCGCGTTGGCCAATTTTAGATTTAGATAGACCTGCCTTTCGAACGACATTATCGAGAACCCTTCTTCATTGAAAAGAAGAATAAATGAGCCTGGTTTTTGTAATTTGTACATCGTGTTTTGAAACCTGAGTGAAATTATGTGGTGAATAGTCATTATGTGCTACAGTTACCGATACACAATTCTGCATCGTAAAAATATATTTGTGTGTTTTTACCGTTTTATATTTTTAAATTTTTAGTTTTAGGTTATCACAGGGTATGCACGGATACCACAAGTCTTTTGTCCTGCCCTTGAGTAAAATATTATCTGTGAAACTACTTTTGCAACTCACTTCCGCACTGCCCCCCCCCCAACCTCCCGTGACACACTGCCATAAATATCGAATGTGTACTATGAATCTTTTCCAATAAGCAAGTCTTCACGGTAATATCGTTCGCGGAAATGTCGTGTCACGTTTGATTTAGCGTCTGGGCTACTTCTTTTTGCAAGATAAAAAGTTTCCAAAAATCGAAAAATGTATCGCTAGCCTTTTAGAAACGTTTGTGACGGCGATGTGTCCTACAGAAGAATGCTTTCCACATTTTAAGACCATTCCGAGATTTTTAGTTCAAAAACTGGCGGAGATATCGTCGACTTATGAACACCTCCATTTTTACCACTAGTTTATGCATAATTCTGAAAAACACGAGATATAAGGCTGAAATTTTTGCACTAAGATACATCTTGTGCAAAAATTTCATCAAGGTCGAGCATTTTCTGAGAAAATAGACTTCTAAGAGTGGAGCCCTTAAAAACCTCTTTTTTTCACTCTACACTTCTAATTTTTTACGCTCTTCGTTTTCTTTGTTTTTTCTCGTTACACCTATGGTTTTTCTCTTATCTTTCTCATTTTAGTTTTATCTCCGATCAACATAATAAGAACTCTGTCAAAATACTTTGAACTAAAATGACAATTTCCCTCCATCGTTTTAGTAGACGTGCACTGTAAACCGACTAGGTCAAAAATCAAATCTGGAGTAAAAAGAAAGGTCTAAAAGTGTAATTCGGTTTTCTACAACCAAACGTCTAAGCCCTTGCAAACTTTCTCATTGTTATAGTAAAAATTCGCACCATGGACTATGTATCTCTACGTGTCTTTGGCTAAAAAGCTGACCTTCGGCGCTAGAAGCTCTTCCTCATCATAGATTAGTTGTGTCATTATCTTATTTAGTTTTATATATATTTTTTGTTTTATCGTTGAAAGGCGTATATAGAAAGTACGTTGATAGTTGAAATTGTATATAATAATAATGAATTGACATGTATATTAACAAACACTAACATATGCAATCTTTAATATTTTGAAAAAATATTTGTATAATACTTAGAATAACATTCGTCAATGAACCAATCGATGTTACCAATGTATGTTGATTATTGTAAAACGACAGAGTATATGTAAACAGAGTAAACAAAGTTGTTGTTGAATAGCCAATAATTAAAATGGAACCCCAACATAAGAAAATCCCTTCATCAATATTGTCTAACATTTTTTCAAATAAAGTGTCGTCTTGAGATAAATCATATATTATTATAAATGAACTAATTAAACTCCATATAAAACAAACAGATATTAATGTTAAATATAATGCTGAATCATTAATAAGGTTTTTTTGCCAAAAAAATAATTGTCCCTCTAAACATGGTGTATCATATTCGAATGAATACAATAATAATCCAGGTAAAATAAAAGTACTTTTTAATATAAATGAACGAATAAATTTAAATATTTTTATAAAGAATTTATGACAGCAGTTTCGATCACAACTATCACTATTGTTGTCCTCTATTGTTTCGTTTAATTCTAAGACGTTACAACCAAATGTGAAAAACCATGCTACAATGACACCCCACCAATAGGTAAATAAAAAGAACTTATTTTCTGTCCGATCGTTTAGTAATAACCAATCTAATGGATTATTATTATTAGTTATTTTTAAATTATTTTCTGATTTTATTATTAATGATTGATTCGTGCATTGACTTACATTATATATTTTTTGCACAACATAATACATGTGATTTGATACTGATAATACATTTGTTCCATTTATAGAAATGAAATCGTAGAGACCACGTTTATTATAACGATAATATGCAAACATATCAAATGTGAATAGACCGGCAGTTAATAGTATAGATAAAAATGGAATAATGAATTGTTTCATTGTTCGTTTTTCTAGAATTATCAAGCAATGTTAATAGCAGTAAGGGAGCATTTCAAAAGGTATGCCGGTCGCTCGGCCAGCCGCAGATCATTCTGCCCTTCTGCCATTAATTTTGGTTCCTTTGATCGTATTGTGGATACATACATACATTGGCATATATATTTATATACTTCCAGTTTATTCGTTATTTTTATAATAACCAGTATTGCAGCATATAAGCAAGAGAATACAATAAACGAAGAAGGGGACATTTTTCCATAAGGGAAATTTTTCTGTTTTTCTGTTTGAAGAATAAAATAAGAAAAGAATAAATTTTATATTTTTATAAAATGTTCATCTTTTATATATTCAAGGAGGAGAGTGTTAGAGGTCTGCAACCCGACCTGAACTGTAAATGTTCGGGTTGAACATTTTGCGGTGCAATTTAAAATATAGATAATAATTTCAATTTTGTATTACTCGTTGAAAAGTTAACTCCACTGGAATTCTCAGTTAAAATACTTATTTCAGAACTACTGTATTCACTAACGAGGCAAGGTCTTCAGATGTCCAACTCCATTTTTAATGATATTATGTCAGTTAATAGAGGAAAGTGAGCTGATAAAAACCCTTAAAAGAGGATCCATATCAGTTCTTTCAAAAGTTATGAAATTTTTTGTTCTAACGGAACACTGTGTGTAATAACAGTAATAATTCTGTAACCCAGTCAAACAAAGAATTAAGAGATGAAATTTTCCTTTGTACTTTTGTTAATAGTCTGCTAATATTACAGAAAAGTTGAGTTTTCCAAACGGCACAACTTTTAATGATAACATTTCCTTTTTATTAGAGGTGACTTTGCGTGCATTTTTTCCTGCTGAAACCATTCTTATATGGGAATAAAACAAAGAAGATAATTAGCTTTATCACGTGCGTGCTTTCCCGTTTGTGAGACAAAGGGAACCTAGAAAACCCCTGCAGGAAGATTGGAGAGTCGACTTTTTGTAGAAAGATAATGTTCTTCTACGAGATATTATTCATATTGTCATATCAGCTGGTTCATTCGCCTATATCAAACCTTCTGCTTTAGTTTTCAGCGCATCAAGCACTACAGTGTATGTTCACTATGCAGGATATCAGTGGCGTTTAACTATCTAAATGGAAAAACGATCGAGTTGCTCTGACCTTTTTTAGGATGTTCTCTTGTTTTAGGAAAACACTATTCTCATTCAAGAAGCAAAGTTCAATAACAAGCGAATTTAGAAAGATATAACGCTCAACTTTTCTGTAATATTAGCAGATTATTAGCAAAAGGTCACTCGCTGCAATGCGATGCCGAATCAAATAGCTAAACAAATAGGCAAATAAAAAGACATAAACTTAAAAAGAAAACAAAAGAGTAAAAATTTATCGCATCTGGTTGGGTTAAGATGTTGTCGGGTCGGGTTACGTTTTCTTAACTCGTGCTGATCTCTAGAGAGTGCTCACTGTAAATTTAATTCGTATTGTACCAACTTAGCGATCTAAAATTATATTCATTAGAGGAGACCCAATTCCATTTTTTATACTAGTTCCAAATACACTAGTTGTACACAACACTGATGTATGTTTTAGAAAAGGATCCCTTTTACTTTTAGAGATATACGACTGTGAATATATCGTTGATTCGCGTTCAGAAAGCGAGTTTTCCAATGACTTCAAATTTTCAGTACATGACTTTGATGTATATGTGATATCTGAGTAAAAAAGTCAATCTTAATGTTATATAACAGAGCACCATGTATTTATACATGCGTTAGCTCATTTTATTATACTACTTTTCTAAACTTTTAAACATGAATAACGCTCAATTTAATAATGCCGTATTCCCGTGTGTCTTATCATGGCAAAAACTTGCTCGTCTAAACGACATATACACAGTCGTATATCTCAAAAAACTAAAAGGGATCCTTTTCTAAAACATACATCAGTATTGTGTACAACTCGTGTATTTGGAACTAGTATAAAAAATGGAATTGGGTCTCCTCTAATGATTGTAATTTTAAATCGCGAAGTTGGTACAATACGAAATAAATTTACAGTGACCACTCTCTTCCTTGAATATATAAAAGATGAACATTTGAGAAAAATACAAAATTTGTTCTTTTGTAAGTTTAGCCGTTAAACAGAAAAACAGAAAAGTTTCTCTTATAGGAAAATGTCACCTTCTTCGTTTATTGTATTCTCTTGCTTATATGCTGCAATACTCGTTATTATAAAAATAACGAATAAACTGGAAGTATATAAATATATATGCCAATGTGTGTATGTATCCACAATACCAGCCAAGGTCCGTTCAAATAATGCCAGACAATCAGGATATACTCTATTTTACCTGTGCAATACTATGCAGTTCAGTAAAAGCTTTAAAAATCAGCATAAAATATTTTGGTTTTGAAAAGCTTTGCTAGAAATCTTCTGAAGTACAAGAGCGTTTTTTACTATTCTCGAGAATAAAAAATCGTAAAGACTCTACGTAAATGAGAAACCATCACGTGAGATATCAAATACTTGCTTCTTCAAAAATTTCGACTTAAACCTCTAATCTCAAGTTTTTTATGAGTCTGTAAGTTGAAGAAACAAATATTTGATATCTCAAGTGATAGTTTCTCATTTACTGTAGAGTCGATAGGTTTATCATGAATTTGCAGGTTAAGTTTTATATAATGGGAAAGAAAGAACTCAGTAGAACTCATGGTTCTGAATAACTTTGCGTTTAGCAAGATGTCGAAATCGGTTTCTAAAAGACGATGGAAGTTTTTTTCTGTCTATCGCGTGCAATTTGTATGGACTGTCTAGAATTATCCCATGAAAAATAGCTGAGTATCTATAATTATCGCCAAACAAGAAAAATGAAAACAAAGACTACGTTCTTTTATTTTCGTAATTTCTAATTAATTAACAAATGTAAAAGAAGGTACAGACGAACACGTCTATTAAACCGCTACGGCGTCATTTTCTTCCACAAAGAAGTATTTTTGAGAGAGAAATTTCAATTTCTGCACAAAAAGCATGAAAAAAGAATAGGATATATTACAAAAGAACAAAATATATGGTCATATGTGAAAAATACATTTAAGCCGTACACATCTTCTTTTCGAGGATTAATGACTAAAGAAGAAATTTTAAAAGATAATCAGTCAATAGTTAACACGCTCGCTGATCACTACGAAAAACACTTCAAAAAACCTACTCATCATCGGAGAAAGTCTTATCATTTAGAAAAAAGCATGTAAAAGAATAAAAGTGACACCCGAAATTTCTTTTGCAAAAGGTCGAACTTGATAAAGTATTTAAATCTTAGAAAAAATTTGCGCCAAAAAATACCTTTCGCCAGTGTGAAAACATCTGCCTTTCTTCTGAAAAAGTTACCACTTGAATACTTAAACACAATTACTGTTTTGTTCAATAAATGCAATGAAAAAGGAACGTTTTTTGAAAGAGTAAAACAAAGCGAAATGCCTATCAAAAGATGGTCTATATCCTACTGAAGATCGCTTACGCTCTATTTCAATGTTACCAAACTTAGGAAAGTGGTTTAAAAGAATTATTATTGAGAGGATTGAAAAATGGTGCAAGGACAAGGGTATCTATTTAGACGAACAATCAGGATTATGGCGCGGCGTAGATTACAGAGTAGAACTCTGGGCATAGTAGAAGATTTAAGGTTAATGATAGCTGCATGTAACGGACCAGCTCTTGCAATTTTTGTGGATTTCAAAACTGCATTCGATAAAATGTGGTTCGGGGCTTTTGGAAACGTTAGAAGAATTAGATATGCCGTTAGAGCTTGGGCATTGGATTTATGATTGGCTTCAAAGTAGAGCGATGAGTATAAGTCACGGTGACGCCGAATTACGACTATTTCAAATTTTTGTAGGTGCATCCCAAGGAAGTATATTAGCTGCTCTTTTATTTATACTGCATATACATTTTCTACCATGATACTTTGCTCAAGCTCTTTCTCATTTATATGCAGTCACTACTGTTAAACCAAGAATTGAATATAAAAACTCTCCTATTGAATATGTCACATCTTTCAAAGGTTTAATATGTATTGAGAAAAAAGTACATCGCTAATTTTATAGTTTTGCTATAGCAACAATCTTATTAATAATACCTCAATGTATATATTGACTAAACATACATTCTACCTTTTTATTGATGTTATGAGCTATTCTCTTTGAAAGAGAAAGATTTTAAATTTTTTCCTTACCACCGAAAGAGACACGAGTCCCATTGTTATCGAGGAATCGAGTAGCACGATCGATACAATGTAATCATGAAAAAGTGTCAAACAATAATATATGGAGGTCGAGATATACACACAAAGAAAGAAAAAAATGTATTTACCGAGAAGTAAACTGACAAGGAGTCAGAGAACAGAAGAACACGTTATTCTTCTTCTATAAATCCTCTTGCTGTACGAATACAGGGCTTGACCGGCGAACGGTAACCTTTAAATCAGATGATTGCAGGAAATTTGTTCTGGAGTCAACCTTAAATATATATTATCAGACGCAGTTTTTTACGCTGATCACGAACAGCAACTTTATTTTAACTAAAATTTGATTTTAAATTTTAATTTAATTTCTTGGAATTTTTTATTTGAATTTCCTGATCTATTTATTCCATTGACTGTAAATCTATGGTCATACGAAAAAAATTCGGTCGTAGAAAAAGTAAAAGTGTTTGTGTGTGTGTGTGTGTTTGTCCGTACACGGGTGTGACGGACGTTAGCACACACGGTGACGGACGTACATATATTTAGTCATGTAGTATAACGGACGTACATACATATAGTGGCCAGTGAGTGTGAGGACGAACATACAAATAGTCATGTGGTAGTGTAATTGAGACGAATGCCAACACATTTTTTTCCATTCGTTGGCCCGTGGATAGAGTACATCTCTTCGAAATATTTCCAAAACTTTTTGATTGAATCGACGCGGTTGTTTTTGAATAACCTGTAAACGACACAAGATATTGATGTGGAGTTTTTACAGTCTATAGCCAAGACTTTAAGCCATGTTATCACAAGGAAAAATTTGGTTTCAAAAAAAGGACAAGGGACGATTTCTGCAAGAAAATGGCCCTATATATTTTTGAGAAGATAACGACTGAAACTGATCAGAAACCGTTCGTTATTTAGTTCTTAATTTTTCTGTGCCTTAATAGTTGATTGTAGAGTACCGATTTACACGATTTACTGTCCGTTGATTAATTTCTATTTTAATTAGCTTTTTTTCATAGAAAAGTATAATTCTCTTATATATGGATTTACTTTCCGTTGATTATATAGAAATATATCTCAATTAGCCACTTTTTTATATAAGGATTTAGTTTCCACTAATTATTTGTACCAAAAGCAATGAATGAGCAAATGAATATTCATTGCGACAACGAATGGATTATGAGAAAAAAATATATTATTGGTGTTTATTAGTATGTTTATTAGTAAAGCGAAAAAAGATATTTTTTTAACTTTTTGATGGACGTTGAAAATATCTCATACCGGCAGCTTTCAAGAACGCTGGAATGTCAATACGACCGTCATCATAACGTTGCCATAATTTCATTAGACATTCATCTGTTATAACTTTGTTTTTTCGACGTTTTGGAGCTGGAGCTCCCATACCATCTCGTAATCAATGATCTCGTACAATGATTTTTACGTTTGAGAGAATATCGATAACCGAGGTAACATAATTGTCTTTTGGCATGTGTAGATTTAACAAATTCAGCAAACATTATTAAAACTTCTTCTGACTTACCAGACATTATTAAAACAGTGTGAAAAGAGAGTGGTGTATCTGTACCTTTTATACATATTTTTATGAAGGTTATCATATTATCACGACTACTCTACTTCCCAAATAAGTATTAGAAATTAATCAATTTGGTTCATCATTCCCTTATTGATGAATGTTTGTTCTGCTTGGAATTGAGGTATATTTCTATATAATCAACGGAAAGTAAAGCCGTATATAAGAAAATTATACTTTTCTATGAAAAAAAGCTAATTAAAATAGAAATTAATCAACGGACAGTAAATCCGCGGACAGTAAATCGTGCACTCGTAGACTACCATATGCTGAAATTTTTAATCATTTCTGAGTAACGATCCAAAAAGTCTGTTTGATCGTATTTATTCATTTCTCTGCAAGTCCGACGTTGTTAATAGAATCTTATACACGAAAACATGCGTAATTAAACGTACTTTAAAATGGTATATAGCACACCTTCTCAAACTAATGTCTTCATAGATCTATCGGACAAAGACTTGACGGGTATCTCGATTTTACCCTTAGTGTCAGACAAAAATGATTATAGTTTCGTCCACAGATAGAGGTCTCTAATCATTTGTACATTATTTTATGTCCCTTGGAAAACTCTACGATATGTGCTAATTAAAAAAACCTAACGAAGCTTCGTCGCAGTTTTTGTGTATTAGATACTTCAGCGTAAACCGACAGTGGGTCCAAAACTTATTTCCCACCTTTATTTTTCATTTTTTTCGGCGACCATAATAGCTAGACCAAACTTAAGCAAAGATTTGAACAGCTGAAAGAATTTCCAATCTGATGTGTTGTATAAGACAAAACTTGATAATAGGGTTTCTGGAAAATCTGACTGCTAGAAGACCAAGTCTTTGGTTTTTGCTCGGAAAATTTTGTACACCATATAGCCTGATAGAGCAAAGAATTGCCAGCAAAATAGGATATCTCCAGGCTGTCTATAACGCTTTTTCACCGAAATAATTTGGTAATTTTCAAGTCCTTTGTAGCCAATGGATTCAGCTCGATGTAGGTAAGGATGCACCAACTCCGAATATTTGTGTTTGATGGGTTTGGGTTTGGTGAAGATTTGAGATTTGGGATTAGTAATCCCAAATACTTTGGGTTTGGTTTGGTCACCAAACCCAACGAAATTATTATTATCGTTAGTAAACTGCGCGACATATGCCCATAATAAATTTCGAGCTGTTCGACCGAGATTTTTGCGGAAAAATGAAAGTTGTCCAGAAGTCCTGAAACACATATCAGTCAATTCAATCTTTTATGCTGATTCCAAATATGACATTGGTTTTGCAGAAAAATGCGAGTTTAACAATGAAAACTGCAAAATACAAGCGAAATTCCTTGTTTTATGCTACCTGTTTCAAATAAATTAATTTTCTCAACAACGGAACAATATTTTTCAAAACCAATGTGTTGGCTTCATCTCCTATTTAGAGAGACTTGAAGCGCTAACATGAACGGGATGTTAGCTATTGGTGAACAACTAAAACGTTTTTAGGTCATATCATACTTAAATAGTATCGAAACACTATTTTCAGATTAAGTTTTTCACGGAGAACAAGAACGGAATACTTTCAAGGTTCCCAAACACACTGTGTTTGAGTTTTACGTTAGTTTTTAAAAATAAGCCGTTTTTTAAAATTTTAAAAGCTGCAAGTCTCTGTAGATAGCAGATGAAGCCAATATTTTTATATCATTCTACTCGCCATAATAGCACGAAAAAAGTTGCTTATTGGTTTTGAAAAATATTGTTCCGTT